TTTGCGGTACGTCCACTTACATTGGTCAGGCAGAGAATAGCGCAATCAGGCCGATTTTTGCCGAACGGATAGAACACTAAGGCAAAAATGAGTGAGCTGAAAGATAGGCGCAGACGCTGCTATTATTTTATGTCAATTCATACGCGTTTTAAAGGCAGAAAAGGAAACCGAGACTTACCATGTACAGAGGCCTGTTTGACTCGCTGGATGACGACACGCATCGTCCCACTAAAATGCAAACAAAACGCGCTATACTTTCTGCAGGTTCTACCGCCTAGTGATGAAACAAATGTCAATAACTTTGACCTGCAGCAAAATTCAAACTGTTCGGGGCAAGATGACACGCTGGCCCTGAGGTGCCGTTTATAATTGCCTCGGCGCTGCTGAAAACTAACCATCCCAGGATCGCATAACAGTCCCCCGTGTGCGCCTGTGGTATAGGGGACAGAGACCAGTGGTTACCAACTTATTATATGGATCGCTACGAAAACCGAAAGACTCCGAATTCTGTAATACGTGACCGGAGGTAATGACGATTTATTATTTCTTATATCTTGATTAAATTTTCAATTATCGCACGTTTTGTTGTTGCTATATAGTTTTTTATAATATCTGTATCTACTATTTCCTGTTTTTGTTTGATATATTCTTTTATTTTCTTTCCTGCGCCCTCGTGTTGCCCCACCCGCATAACCGCTACTACAACTGGTGCCTCACTTCATAATTCTGAGTTTGGTTTCCCTCGTGATACATAAAATAGACTGTTACCTACCACTTAAAGCTTGTGCTGGAAGGTGACAGAGGATAGGACTCGGTTGGCGAACGTTTAAGTAATACTGGCGTGACGGCGCCCACTGTGCGGCAAAAGATGGCTTTTAATGATTGGCTGTCAAGCGACTCAGACTACGGCCCTTGTCGATCAGCGTTCAAGTGTGGCAGAAAATAGTTGCATCACAGAATGGTCGTAGATGCGCACGCATCGGCACGGTTTGAGACCTAGTCAGACGCCCGGGATTAGTGTTCAGGAGGGTTCTATATGTTGACTGGAAAGGCCCATAAATAAGGATGCGCCGGGGAAATAAGTTGATTGCGGCGGCTTGAGAAACCATCCTACCTAAGATAACTGATTCCGCAAGTCAATTCATTTATATGGTACATATTTGACATCTATATTACCAAACAGCCTGATAGACCATTTAGTGTGGCCCACCCTACCCCAGGCCTGGGATCACACATTTGTGAAGACAAATAGACCGTAGGCGGAGGATTGGAAGAACTAAAAATGCGCATATTGTCCGCTATAAATAAATATATTGTATATTTCAGGCCCACGGAGACCCTATATCTCCAGGGCCGGGAATAAGGGAGAATGTCACATGCGAATACGGCCTACACACTAGGGGTGCAAAAACTCCTCCCCACGCCCCTAAATAAACATACTTTTATTCAAAGCCGGACAGTGATTGGTTACAGCCGGTTTTACGGAAATAAATGGGATGTACTCGCGCACAGCAAGCCTCCGTTGCCCCTAGTTTATACACCACATCAAACATAATGCAAAAAAGCATCTCTTAAAAACTTCCGACTTAAGCGGTGTTCCAAAATTCTTTGCACCCTAATAACACACTCACGGTTTCTAAAGTGATGTATATTTCACAATTTACTTTAAAGAATTTTTTTCTTTAACCGTTAGGACGATTTCTACCCTACTTGGCATCGAATGAATGAGATTCTGGAGGATTCTTGTGCATATGCTACCCGTATCTGCTATTGCTTTCCGCTCATGTCTTTGACGATGAATCCGCGACGGATCTCGAAAAGTCAGTCGAATAAAAGTGTTGTCCCAGCGATCGAGTCGTCTTTACAATTTTGGAGGATCTCCTATGCTATCTTTTTCCAGGCGCCCAGCAGTATTCCTTCCAATCCAGCACAGTGACAGTAAGAAGCAGGCCGAATATTTCAGAAACCACCGTAGATTTTCAATTGGATTAAAGTCAGGACTAACTGTTGGCCACATCTCATTCCTCCAGAAATGTGAAACTTTCTCTGGCAACAAAGACTGAGTTACCAGAGCGGTAAGAGCTGTTGCTTAAAAGTGTAAAAATAATTTTGGGGAACCATATATAAATAGCACTTATGTAATGGTTATCACTTGATTTAGCAGTATATCACCTACAGCGAGAAATGACACATCTCGGTCGGACAATCTAAAGGAATCGATGGAAGCCATTTATGTGATAAAATATTCTCAGTCAGTAAGAGCGCCTCACAGTGACTCAGGATACTGCTATCATAGAATATTAGCTGAAGCCCATGCGAAATCGAACACCTTTCCGTATGTCTCCAAGAGAAAAGATGGCTTGGGCGCGGTATGAAACCCGATTAGGTTTTTAGGAGCAGCTTTCCAACAATTTTTGTGCATAAGTTAGGCTTAACATAATAGATTCATTAAGTGCCATGCGTTTTTAACTTGATTGGCAACCTCGCATCCTTTTTTTTATAACAACTGATATTAAGACGGAGCAAATCAGTTCTCCTCCCCCCCCGTTCCAGGAGATAGCGAATATCTTTCATTTGTTTCTTCCTATGTTCGGCGTAGACAGCTGTGTGCAAGGAAGCAGTATAGACATATGGGAATATATGTTTGCACTTGTGACCTATGAAGCAACCCATTTTATCGTAATTTAGTTAGCCAGTACTAGCTGCAAGCCATCAGCAAGACTGCGGACAGTCGAGCTTACGAAAAAAAGGACATCTGTTGCGTGAATCGAGACGGAAAGAGGGGGTGGGGAGGCGGCGACCTCGTCAGTCGTCGTGAAAAAAAAAAATGCACGATGCACTGGGAAAGGTCACATGCGTAAATGATGCTGCGTGAAGCGGGCAGCGCAAGAAAGATGACGGCTAAGTGACGCGGACTATGTACATCCTACCGGCGTCTTCGGCATAGCCGGCCGCACTCGAAACAGGATGCACGTTGATGACCTGGCGGCGTGTCTCGTTTAGCAGGCATTACAAGCAGGTCTCGGTGGAGAGGGCATAGCGACAAGTAATGCGCAGAATTTGTCACAAACTGGGCTGGAGGAAACCCAAGCGCATGAGAGTGCGGGCAAAAAGGGAAGTCCCATGGACAGCGGAGATGTTTTAGAAAAAAA